GAACTTTTAAATTGTAATTATTTTACGTTATTACAGTTATTACTGTATTTTTGAACAGAAAATGCAGCCTTGGTGAGACTTCTTTCAAAAGCATTAAAGTCATCTTTTCTTCGATCATCTTCTCTTTAGCTAAAAATAAAAACAGCATTTTAGTATCTTAATATTATTATTTACTTATTTCAATCTTTTTAAGTATTTCTTATTTAATTTATTATCATCCTATTTTTTCACAGACAAGGCAGGAATCGATTTTGTTCTTCAGGAATTGATTTGATGGTTGTGGATTGCTATCGCTGTGATCTCATAGGTTGACCCGCCCTCTCGGGTCCGATAAATCAGTTATAATAAACAATGCAATATTCTATGAAAAATAAGAATCGCCCATTTATATTTCATGGTGATTCAATTCTTACCAACCTCAAATTTTGATTGGTGGTGTTCATCTCACTGACAAGTTCTACGCATTTTGTGATGATCAAAATAAAAAGAATGTGTCTGTGATGATTCAAAACACCCAAAATAACCAAAATTGGTCAACAAACTATTGGTCACAGGAAAGCTTTATCTTTTGCAGTAAAGAACAGTCACAGCTGTATGTTTGGCTGAACAGTAAATCACATACTGTTGTGCAACCACACGTACCTCTGCGCTCTTTATGGCTTTCAGAAGGTTTGCCACGGTCTCTTTAAACGAGTTGATGAGTAGTCGGCCCAGCTGCTCATACAGCGCACCCAAACAGGCCACAGCTGCCCTACAGGGAAAAATTAAGTAAGCACACTGGCAGGGAATCAAGCGGAAGCACATCTGCAGCACAGGCGGTTGGGTGTGCGTGACGCGTGCATGTAGGGTCCATATTTATTACACTCACAGTCGTGTAGGCAGGAAGCTGGGCGAGTCATCCTTGCTGCGGATGATGTCATTGCAGCGGTCCACAGTGAGGCTGGACATGAGGGAGTCGCCCACTCTGTACACCAGCGCCAGACACTGTCCCAGCAGCAAGCGTGTTGGAGGACCCGGGGAACTTGTCAGTACCGCCGTCAGCTGCTCCACCAGGCGCTTCTGGGTCTGTTTTACATCGGCCTGCCACACAAATAGACACCAACATATTGTTTAGTTGAGCGCAGCTCTTTAATAGGATTTGCTTGGCACTTCACCAGTAAGAAACAGACAGACACATCACTAGTCCATTCCAGGCGGAGAGACAGCCAGTGGAAAGGCAGACAAATAATCAGAGAGTCTGTTCAGAGCGGCTTGCTTGTGTTTGAGAGGGAGAGAGAGAGAGAGAGAGAGACAGAAGTGTTTCTTCTCAAACAGAGAGCTTATTGTCAGCGCCCTCAACTCACCCGGTCTGTAGCAGGGAGTAGTTTCTTGAGGAAACGCAGCCACTCAAAGACAAACTCGGCCCTTTGGGGCTCCCGTAGCTGGCTGCAGGCTTCCTCGTTCAACAGTAAACTATGAGCCCGCTCCATCTTTCTGGCTCTCAGACTTTTCACTTGAGACACCGAAGGCAGTGCCCCTCACCTTTTGGACACCTCCATCCACCCTGAAATAAACCAGACGTTTACACAATGTTTCAAACTGGGGGGAGTTTTAAGGGGTGCGTGGAAATTTTTACAGTAAAATTGTGTAAAAATGTAATAAATAATTAAAGTAAGATAAAACAAAACATATAGGCATGGTTTCTCAGACAGGGCTTCGATTAAGCCAGTTTTAGGCCTTCGTTTAAAAGGACATTTATGTAGCTTTTATAAACGTGCTTTACAAAAAAAAAAAAAAAAACATCACCAATGTGCATCTTGAGACAAAACACGGTCACTGCCCGTGCAAGTTTCTTTCGCTTAAAACAGCTCAAACATGCAAATTTAGCCGTGAAAGTCCATGAAACCGGCGGATAATAATTAATTAAATAAGAAATAAATAAGAAAAATCAAAATACATAATTAAATAATATTAAGTTACTGTTGCTTTGGCAACTAACTAAAATGCTTTTAATTTTTTTTTTTTTTTTTTAGCCTAACGTTTATTTTATGTCAAGTATTTTATGGTTATTTTATGATTTTAATGGTAACACTTTCAATAAAGGTCTCGCTTGTTAGTTAACATTAGTTAATGTCATGACATGAACGAACAATGAGCAATACATTTGTTATAGTTGGCTATTTATTAATCTTTGTTAAACAATTAATAAAAATCCAGCAATTCATTTGTGTTCAAGTTCACAGCGTATTAACTAATGTTAACAGATATAACATTTGATTTCCACAATGAAGCCTATTGGTGAAAATGAAATGAACATTAACTAAGGTCAATAAATGATGTAGAAGTATTGTTCATTCTTAGTAATGTGCTTAACCTTATTGTGAAGTGTTACCGTAGGCTGGATCGTTTCCAACAGATGCAGAGCCGCACTGAGTGCTGGAGATTCGCTGCTGGTCCTTTTGTAATAATAACCCAGTACAGTAATATGGTGAATAGAAACTAAATACTTTCCAAATATTTTTTTGGTAACACTTTAGTTTACAGTGTCCTTGTTACATAAGTTACAAGTACTTACAATCATTTTAACAGTTAATTATGCATAATTACATGCAACTAACCCTCAACCAAACCCCAATCCTACCCAAACTCTATAGTAAATACATGCAAATAAAATTAACATTACTCAGTACTTAAATATATAATTGCACTGGAACAATGACACTGTAAAATAAAGTGTAACCTATGAATTTTAAATACAGTATATTTAGATTAAGTCTTTATAAATAACAATATATGGCTGACTATTACATTTTAATGGGGTTCCTTAGCATGGGGATGTCAAATTTGGGGGTTTGTGGCATTTAAAAGTTTGACAGTTACAACAGATTCAGCAAAGGTGTTGTAATTAAAAACTGATGCAATTAATATGACTCTGCATGTCTGTTTTACTGATAGACTTTGCTACATGTCCTGTTTCATAACTTCTACATTTAATTTCAATGGAGAAAAGTCGGTAAACATTTTAGTTTATAGAAGGGTTTATTAAATAAACTTGGCACGTACATTCTTCCTGTTCGTTGTAAACTTATATGTCAGCAATTAATTATGCATTGTGTCCAATGTTTCTGCACAGTCTGGAGAGAAACCAGGAGACCTTGCAAATAAAATGACTAAGAGAGAAAACCTTAAATTAATTGTAACTTTTAAACCAGGGGGGGTTAAAGGGTCAGGGGGACACAAAGGACGGGGTGGTGAAATGATGCTGGGTTCGTTTATGATGAATCAGGCTGGAGGGAGACCCAATTCTTTTCTTGCATGTTTACTTATGAAAGTATTTAATGTTATCTGCTACTGTGTTAACCTGTAGCTTTTTGTAAAAATCCAACTATCTGTTTAAGCGCTGGATAAATAAATAAAAACATACACTTTCAAAAATAAGTCTTTATGGTGTGTGTGATGCAGAACCGACAATGACTCCAGGCTAAATAAACAGAACCTCTGGCTAACCCGATTTGCTGCAAACTTCACACAAAGACAGTTAACCTCTAACACTTATTTTTAGCTAACGTTAAATATAAAACACAAACTAAAGCGGACATTTGTCTGTCAGTGATTGTATGTATTGTTTAGGTATTTTAGCCTAACGCTAGCTTATATTCAATGCTAACCCAATTACCTGACATGCTAGCGGGATAAATCTTCATAAGCAGCGACTTATTTCTTTAAAATGAAAATATCATAAGAAATTGGTGTATTACCTGCTAAACCCATCAACTGTATTGTCAGGGGGGCGATAGTAAGAGAGGTATATCCCTGTTGAAGTCGACTGTTAGTAAGCAATTCCTCAAAGACATCTGCTTGCATGAAAGTGTGAATCAAACTGTGAAGCGCAGCAGTCACGTTAAAGAGAACATGAACGTGACTGACCGCTAGAGGGAAGAATACACTACTGCCGTTATTCAAACCTAAAAACTTCATTGCGGTCATCCTAGACTACATTTTTGGCTTTAGTAGCTGCCTACCTAGACTATCTTTATGTGCACTATTATACCTGCCTAACTGTACAGTTTGTATGCATTATACACAATACCTGTTAAGCATTTTGGCCATATAGCACATGAAATGTTTTGAGAGGATTATCCTTGGTTATCTGTCAGATTAGTTGTCAAATTTTCTGGGTGATAAAATTTCTGACATTTTTTCAACCAAAACAGGAGCCCCTCAGGGCACAGTCGTATCACCTTTTCTTTCAAAGCAATGATGTGGACAATTAGGAGAGGTTGAGTTATTTCTTAGATGGTGCGATGAAACTAAGGAGTTGATCATTGATTTTAGAAGGGGGGGAAAAAGAAGTGATAGAACCAGTGTTTATTAACAGTCAGAAAGTACAGATTGTTCAGACATATATATTGGTGTCCATTTGGACAGTAAACTGAACTGGAAGAAAAATAGTGAGGCTGCTTTTAAAAAGGCACAATCAAGACTATTTTTATGAGTTCTATTGGTGTAAGCTTCTTTATGTATTTTATCAGGGAATTGTAGTGTTTTGTTTTATGCAGTGCTCTGTTGGGGATGTATCGCTGTAGATGATAAAAAAATAAATAAATAAAAAATAGTTAAAAAAGATTAAAAAAAGTTTTCTAACTAACTAGCCGCCTACCAACACCGCATTACAGTATAGCTACCAATAAACAGGAACTTAATTCACTCACTTTGTATGCAAGATTACAAGCTGATTACAAGAGGTCATTTACATGGAGACCTTAAGTACAGGAGCATAAACAGCTTTTTTACACTTATTCTACAGGTCAGTACTATCCTTTTGCATAGCATTTCTAAAGCAGCAGTAGGCTAAATCAAAACACAAATAAAGGGATTTTCCAAAAAATGTTTAAAAACAGGAAGGAACAAGATAAAGAAAAAAGAGAAGACACAACTGAGACATCACTACTAGCCCAGCAGGCCAGCATTTCTGCCCTTTTCCCCTAAAAGTATACTTGTGTAAAACTTGTGAACAAAAATTAAATTGTAACTGTTTTATTAGTTTATACATTGTATTTGCTTATATTTATTTACAATATAATACTATCAAATAAAATCCATTAAAAATTTTGCATTTTCATTGAGGATTCATTAAAACTTTTTTCTTTTGCACTTTATACTGAGTTGTTTATCTTCTTTAATTCGAATTTAATTGTATAACATCCACAGATTGTTGATGAATTCCAAATTAAAAAAATTACAATCCATTGATAAACTCTGAACTAGCCAAAAACAAAGCACTTTTCTTTTAAAATGTATAAGCTATGAAGAGCTTTAGCAAACATGAGCCTTGGCATCTAACAAAGCAAGACGAGCTTAAAAACATCCGGATACCAAATAGAAGATAAAATATTGTAAAATAATGTGATTAACAGCACTGAAACTAGCTGATTGTAAGTTTTACAAATGCTAAACAATGATATTGAAACTCAGCAGTATTCCATAAAATAATCATCCTCCTCATCACTGTCATCAGCTCTGTATGGGTTATCCTTTTCTGAGAGCATATTCCACACCACAAAGTCATCATCTTCAGCAGCTGAAAACATGCGGGATGAATAGAAAAAACAACATAGTATATTTTTCAACTCAATGCTCTGTATATGACTGTTCAGATTGCAAGTCTTAAAGTGACAGGCAACGATAATATCAAAACCGGTGACGGAATAGAAATGTCGGTAGTATTCATATGGTAGTTTATATGGTTCGTCCAAAGATTTCTGCAGTGACTACAGCATGAGATGATGGATAGATCTGAACAATAGATAGACCACCACAACGTATGCACTGTCATTGCCAAAGCGCAACCCATACATGCAGATAGGTTGTATATGTTTTGGACACACAAATCTTATTTGATCACTCGTAACTAAAAGTGCAGACAGTCTACCTGAAAAGATCTGATTTGAGAAAAAACCTAATTTGCTTGCAGTCTGAACATAGCCTTTGAGTTATCATTACCAAAAATGTAATGTACATACCAACACATCTCTTTAGGGTCTTCTTGACTGCTGGAATTGGTGTAAGCTTGTCCTACACAAGAACAATTGCATCACTATCATATTAATTGAAAAAAAGAAAAAGAGGAACACATATGGGAAAAATGTTAAAAACAAGCAGGATTTTAATATTGTTACCATTGGTGCAGGCTTTTTGCCTCGTTTCTGTCCCTTTTGTTTCTTCTGAAGATGAAAAATGTACTTGTCCATGTTATTCCTAAGATAAACAAAGAATTTAACTGATTTATACAAAGATGCAAATTAGACATCTGCTATTTGAATGTCTCCATTTTCAAATGAGGCAATAAGCCTGATGAGTACACTCAGCATCCGCCCACTAAATACTCCAAAAGCATGAAAAACTTTGGCAGTCGAGATAAAAACTTACTTATTGATGGATCCCAGCATTCCTGGGCTAATATGCAAACACTGAGGGGTTTTAGCAGTGGTAGAGTTGCAAGAACTCGGCGTCTGAGGGTTCTGGAGCTGGCTGAAATCCGCATCATCTCCATTTGCAGCAAATACAGGCAACTACAGAAGATACAGAGGTAAAGTTAGATATTTTTATGAAATCTAGTTCAGTGTATGTGGATCTAAATCAACCAACATAAAAGCACCTTGATTTGTTTATTGTGCATTGGTGAGCTGGTAAACACATCATCATGGTCATCTTTAGGCATGTGGTCCAAGAAATGCCTCATCTGCTGTCTCCTTTTAAGAGTTCCAGCTTTGGCAGTTATTTCAACTATTTCCTTTCCTGTGAGCAAAACATTTGCAAACAAAAAAATTCCATAATCTGTAAAAACTGTCATGCTCATAACTCATCGAGCTATACTGTAAAGGATAGGTTACCTGGTTCCTCAGTTGCTGCTGGTTTCTTTGATGCTTTTTTACTGGGTCTTTTGTTGGTCTTCTGATTGGCATTATACTGTTCCTGACACTCTTCAGCCGAACGAGTTTCAACAACATATGCAACGTTGGCCCAGTATCCGCTCTTATGCTTGGGTAATAAGTTGACAGCCCTTTCCAAAGAGATACAGAGTGAAATCATTTCTAAATTGCATCCAATTAAATTATGTGAATTTGTTCAATTATGGCCAGAAAACACTTCAATTAAAAAACAATTTTAGGTTGGCTTTCAAGATAAAAGCTTACTTGTGTAGTTTTTGTAGTTCTTCTTCAGTCCATTTCCCATCCAATAACTCATCTTGTTCATTCGTATTGCCCTTTTCTGCGTGTGGCTTCTTGCTTTTCGTGTTTGCTTGTCCCGTTTCAGATTTCTTTGATCTTCTGTTATTTGAAACAGCACGTTGAACACTTTCCTCATCCTCCGAGTACTCAGAATATGCGTCCTCTGAGGAAACCAGGTGTCCCTTATATTTAAGTTCAGATTTACCTTTCCTTTGTCTTGTCCTCTTCAACAATAACGTGGCCTTTTTGTCGTGTTGCCGTCTCTCTTCATCATCACCATCTATGGAAAAATCAATAGAATCTCCTGCCAAAACATCATCCGAATTTCTCAGCGAGACCTTTTTCGCTCTACGAGAACCTTGTTCATTTTGTTCCTTATGACTGGTGGAGACTTGCGGCACAGAGGTCTCACTCTTATGAGGTTTTGTTAGCCGTTTACAGTCTGTAGACCGTTTTCCTCTTTGCCTTTTTGGAGGGTCTGGAGATGCAAAAGAGCTGTTTGAGTCAGTAGTGTATTGGGCTCTGGAGCTTAAGCGAGAGCTTCGGCGCAAGGAAATGTTATCGCATGCCATGGATTCCGGTTCATCTTGAATTCGTTTTTGGGAAGGCTTTCTGTTGGGCTTTGTCTTGGAATCACTCTCAATGCCTGTTTCCTGTTCATCATATGACATACCTCCATCTCCAAGTGAGAAATTAGCGTTCACTGCATCAACTTTTGTGTTCTCTGTCATTTCTGATCCAGAACCCACAGTGGCTTCCTCTCCTCCAAATTGTTGTTTTCTCAGAGAGGCTCTTTGAGGTCGACCAGCTTTTTGTTTCACCGCATGACCTGAATCCGAGCTGGGGGGCACAACCAGGGATCCTCTCTGAGCTCTTGTAGGTTTATTCAGTGAGGTGCTCTCTATTTGATTGCTTTGAGATGGGGCATTCCTTTGGGGCTTGGAATGCCGTTTAATCTTCCTCATTGGCACTGACAGGTCATCTTCACTGCTAGATGTGTTACATTTCCCTTTTTTAAAACAAATAAATGTGAGAATTTGCAATAAAAAAAAGCACTTGCACTTTATAAATACAAGCGTGTTATCAATACACACCTCTTCCCCGAGTTTCAGGCCTGGAAGATAGTTCCTCTGTGATTTGTGATGTTGCCAGAGTTACCGGCTTCTTTGGCTGGAAATACAAATAACAACATATTTAATAAATGGCCCACTTGCACCATAATAATAAATATAAAGTCCCTGTGATTGTCACTAGAGATCAAAAGACATTGACACTGCTAAATAAAATGATAAGAGTACCGTGGACATCAGTGATTTAGAGTAGTCTTCATGGATGGTGACATTCATTTCAGAGTCCATAACAATCCTCCCTCCTTTCCAGTATTCCAGTGGCGGTTTGATGAGTCGGCCACTGCGGGAAACTTTTGCGCTGCTCGGCTGAATGCTGTCAGTGGGCGTGATGGGAGCTGTACAACACAAAAAATTGTGTGACCTTTACAAACATATGAGGATGGCCAGAGTTTAAACTAAATTATTTTAATTGGAATTACAAACATTCTTGATCCAGACGCCAATAAAAATATAAACGCAGAGAGACATTAAATGAATCAATTATTTTTGATTGATTCAGTGACAAATGATTCAGATTGATTTGTGAACACATTTTACCTGATTTCTTCAAAAAGAAGTCAATCACATGAACAATATGCACTCACATTAGACATCACTATACAGTCCATAGTTTTCAAATATGCAACATATGATATACTCACAGGTTGTAATGCCTTGAATCTTGGGATGTTTGGATGTTGAGTTTTTAGAAGCCTGTTGATTTCTTGCATTGGGAGGTTTTGCACAGCTGTCATCTTTCTGACCTTTCTGTGATCTAAATCAAAAATGAGGTAAAATCATTTAATGAAATGTATGGTCTCTTTTTTGTTATTTGATGAGACATAACGTAATATCAGAAATGAGGCAACATACCCCATATGACCACTCAAAAACTGATCAAGGTACTCTTTCCACATTCTTGGAAACCCAAACAGAAACTTCTTCAAAAACCATGATGGAAATGCTGTAATGGTAAAAACAAAATTGTTAAATGAAGTAAAAACAAAATAAGGCAACCTCATTTAAAAAGCATTTTTCTTACATGACTTGGGATGTTTGGCCATTTTCCCAATGAGCACATAGGTTCTGCCAGATGAGGTCTTGAGCACATTACTTGAGACTCTTTCAGTGATGAAACTGCTGTGCCAAGGTATCATAGTGTCTCTGTATTTATCAAACACAACCACATTAGAGCTACATAATATCTGAAATCATTCAGCTAAGTTTTGCAATGGGTTTGTAAAAAATAAATAAATAAATTGTGTAATAAAGAATAGTATAATGCTGTAATATAATAAAATTTAAATTCATGTATAGTGTAGCACACAGACAATATGACAAGTAATCAAGATTTACCAAAATCACATAAAAAAAAAAAAAACTAAAAGTAAAAAGCCAATATCTTACACGCGAATACCATCAACCACAAGGTCTTTGTTGAGCAGTTTCAAAACCCATTCTCTTAAATGAATCCCCTTCACCTAAAAGACAAGTATAATGTCGCCATTACAAAATACAAACTTTTTTGCATTTCTTTTTGTCAATGATCTTAAAAAAACACTAAAAAACAACGATAATTTCCTTTACTTACATTGGTTCCTTCATCTAGCGCTATAGTCGCTTGTCTAGATTGTTGTTTTGACTGAAACACAGACACTTGCTTTCGTGGGATAAAGACGCGAGGAGAAAGCTGCAGGAGAGGATCTTCCAGAAGATTATGAGAGGGCTGAGGGGGTCCAGGGAGTTCTGTGCACTCCGACTGATCAAGACCAGACTCAGGACTCCTGGACGTGTCATTATGGAGGTCTTTCTCGTTGTCTTTTTCTACACAAATGCTCTTCTCACGAATTACAACACAACCACCTGCAATCAAATTTCAGAACAAATCTATTATGATCAGTGTCATTTTACTCTTTGCATAAGTTACTTTTGCATTCTTTATTAGATTACACGAGGTCTATAACCCAGTGTTCTGTAAAAATCTGAATCCAAATTGTTATCAAGTAGTTTTACACAAACAAGGAATTTGTCTTGGTGAAAGGAGATTCTTCCAGTGAACAAAAAATAACAAGAAAAAATAAAGATTAATAAACAAACTCATAACTGGTAATCAAAAATAAAGCTTTACATCAGTTTATGTTTATGAAAAAAGAGATTCATATCCAGACACATACATCATTCTAAACTACTGTATTTTTATGAGTAATGCAGGATAAAATGAAACATTATACCTCTATTTCCACTTAGAAAATTGATGGGCTTCTGCTGAAGCTGGGCTAATGTCTCATCAGGAACCACCTTATCCAACAGCACACAAGGCTCTTGAGTAAACAAACAAAACAGACTTTATAAATTAATTGAGTCCCTGTGAACACCTGCTGTGAATACAACTGTGCTGAAATATTAGAGAACAGCAATTGCAAAAAGCAATTTTTAAATAACTTATACACATATATATATATATATAAACCATACGTCTGTTTCTGTTTAGATTCTCTGGCATTTGCTTCAGCCTTGCTTTCATCACGGATAACATTTCCCCAGGCATCTTCTCCAGTAAAACACATGGCTCTAGACACACAAATAATAACTGAAATTAAAATAATTCAATTACAGCAATATGTACATCTGAAAAAAGATAATAATAAAAAAGAGAGATAACTAACCAATAAATGGCCGTGACTCAGTATTAAAAGTTTCATTTTTTCTTCCAGGATCTTTATAAACATTGATGGAATGACTTTCCTGTGGAAAGTCCATTTCTCCAGCCTGCACATCTCCTCTTGGCGACTGTGGAGGTGAGGGGGCTAACACATATGTCTCCTGGTTGGCGTTTCTCTTTTGCGAGTACTGGATCACACGGTTTGAAAGCATATCACCACAGATATCCTGGTTTCTTACATGATCAGAGGCTGCCCCATGCCCAGCAGAATTTTGTCTCTGAACTTTTGCCTTCATTCTTGCAAAAATCTTTGCTGGCGTCTCATTACACCTCTTCAGCATCAGGTTAGCCTTGTCTTGAGGGGTTACAACCTCTGACGTGGCATTGATACTGCTGAGCTCGCAGGGGATATTTGGGCTGTTTTCTTCAGCACTCTGTGCAGTGGAGTTCATCACCAACACGTCTCTGTTTGAATTCTTTCTGCCTGACCCAGTGGCCCAATTGTGAGCTGTTTTTGATATGGTTTTGACAGGGGTGATCATGTCACCAGGCTTAGGGACTTCAGGAGCTATGAAATAGTCTTGTAGTTGTTGATGATACATTGTTGTTGAGTAAGAGGAAAGATAGTCTAACTGTTTACAGACCCGTTGTGGTCCATGCTTTCAGCAAAAATCCTATAAGATGCAAAGAAATTAGTAACAACAAAAAAATCCAGTGTCTATCAAATTGAACACTTTCATGAAGAATTAAGTTAGTCACATATTTGTAATATGAGACGCAACATCAGTTGTAAAATAACATTAAAAATGAATAAACATCTTAATGGAATTATACTATAAACACTTCTCTAACCCCAACTATTTCAAAGCTTGCTTCTGACTGTAAAATACTAAAGCTAGAACGAGAAAAAAACCGTGCACACTTATCCGTCAACAAAATATGCAAAACGCTCCATTACATATCACTGAGCGAAATAAATATCTAACTTAATATTCTAACTTATATAGTAGAGTGAATAACATTATGGCCTCCATTTACAAGTTACAACCACAACAACAACAACAAAAAACTCACCATAAAAACTCGTTTGAATTTTCCCGGATAAGCGCGGCTAACGTCTTGCGTCGCGGAAGCACTCCGTCACTTCCGTTGATGCTACGAGGAAGTGATTCATTTAAGCGAGTCGGTTCTTTCAAAGAGTTAGTTTAAAAAAATGGTTAAAAACAGTGATTCTTTGATCTCAAAACGCATTTCATTGCATTTTACTGTTCATTACGTGTTTTGAGATTAGGATTGATTAATTATGGCGTTTATTGTAATGTTTACCAGTAAAGTTTGAGACTTCCGGAAAATAAAACAAACTATTGAACCAACATAAATTGCATTAGAATTAAACTGTATTACAATTAAAATGGGTGGCTATTTAAAGAGCATAATATAACAGTGTAAAGTGAGTGTAATGGTAAAAGCAAAATGTCAGACAAAGGGTGTCACATTATACACACTTTAAATACACAATTCAATTGACAGTAAATCGCTGTGTCCCAATTCACTTTACTATGCCCAAAGCCCATCTATGGAAAGCCTGGCCACTCCAAAAAATGTATTTTGGTTGTAGTTCCACCAGAATTTGCCTCTTTCACCTGATTGTCATTGAGAAATCTCATATTTGAATGTAGGTTTTGCAAGTTCAACATGGGTTATAGGTCGTGAGTTGAATGAATGAGTTATTATGTCCTTTCGATTTCTTACAGGTTGAGTTGATGTTGCCCATAACACGCTAGCATTCCGCTGATTGGTCAGTGAAGGACTGATTACGTCCAGAGATACCTCTTGATGGCATTGTGGCATCCGAAGCAGGACTAAAACTCTCACACACATGTATTTACCTGTGTCAGCTGTGTTGTCGATGCCTCAAGAGGAAAGAAAGTGCAGAGCACACAAGCATTGACATAATAAATACATAGTTGCCCTATTGGCCACTTTGGAGCAGTAGTATTTTCAAAACAGTGATGTTTTAAAATTTCGCGGCGTCCGTCATTGACATTTTAAAAGACTTTTTAAAGCAAATAAGTGACTCTAAAAAAATCAAACACAGAGTAATGTGTCATTTCTTTGCATCTTCTTTCGAAAACAACATTCATTCATTCTGCACTCCGCCTGTGAGCGCCCTCATATGGACCCAGAGTAGAACTGCAACCCGTTCAGAACCCGGAAGTTCAATGTGAGTGGGTTCCTCTGCTATGCCCTGCTTCCGGAGTAGTGAATAAATCGTTCAGACTGGTTTTGTGAACCCAAACCGAAAAGATCCGACTCAAAAGAACCATGCATTATGCACCATGTGTTGGAGACTCAGAGTGAATACAAAATGATTCGTGTATAAGAATGAAAATTTAGGAAATACCATAATTACATGTGAGGATAACGGAGACGAGACGATGTCCGCTCTTCAACTAACGGATGAGATCTGGATCCACATTTTTGGATTTTTCTCTGTTCGTGACAAATTGAGTGTTCGTTTAACTTGCACGTACTTTAAAAGATTAATCGACCATTGGAGCTTATGGAAAGGCAGCGTTGTTGTCCTCCAAAAGTTCGAACTCTACGACACACATTTTTGGAAAACTCTGCGCCAAAGAAAAACCAAGTCCATTGTTGTTCAAAAGGCAAATGCAAAAGGATTGCGACACATTGTGACTGCGCTTCCGTGGATCAGTTCCGTGACTCTGGCTCAGTGCAGTGATGGCAAAGCTCTGGCAGAGTTGGGTGCTTTAAAACAACTCGAGAAGCTTGTCATCCGTCAATGTTGCTGTCGGAGTCTGACCAGCTCACTTTTATCTTTGAGACAACTGACTCATCTCTGCTTATGTGAGGTCCAGAAAGCTTCAGTATCGGAGATAAGTGCTGCTACTTCGCAACTTGTCAAGCTTACCTCACTACACTACCATGAAGATAAAAATCCTATCTTTAAACCTGTCCTTCATGGCATGTTGAAGCGTCTGCCCAAATTGAAACACCTTTCCTTGAGATTGGGACCAAAGTATGGGATTCTTCCTGATGATTATTTTTGCCCAATTAAAGCATGTGGGCGTCCTGGTATGTAATGTATGCTTCATAAAGAACACAAAATGAAGGAAAGGGTATGTTTTCACGCTTGTCTTTCACACAGGAGTTAGTCCGGATTCAGAGTTCGGATTGAGCAGTCTGGAGCTGCTGAACTGCTATGACCCCTGCCTCTCCCTGTTGCCTTTGACGCCCTGTCCTCCCTTACTAAACTGACGGTGCATTATAAACAATGGTGTGAGGATCCAACCCGTTGCCGTCTCACAAAATGGTTGCAAGGGCTTCATGTACTCTCAGAGCTCAATATTTCTTGTAAGTATGAAATAATGCATAAACACGGGTTATACATCTTTCATTTTCACCTCGCAGATTCGATAGAAAACGGGCTTCAACCGGAAGTTACAAATGAGAAAAATACGATATTTGTACAATAATGCAAATTGCTTACTTGACAGAAAACGACAAAGTTAACACGGACAAGTTTTCATTTTCATTAGCACCCATAGGTTCATGAACAAAATATCACAATAATGATTAGTAATAATAATAATTATAGCTGCTGCTATTATTATTATTAATACATGTAGTTACAATATATTTGACTATCAATAATTATTACGTTTATTATTATTTTTTATTGATTTTAATCTATTGACAGCCCTAGTTTCTATTTTAGAAAATCTGGATCATTAAACAAGTATGTTAAGGAAGCACTTGATCTTGATTTTGCAGTTTGATAATACTATAAATCCCTCTACATTTTTGTTCTTTCTTTTGTGTTTTCTAGTAGGATACCCGCTCGGATTCTATGCTAAATCAATACCCAGGACTGTGCGGCATTTGTCTCTCATGGGAGTGAGGGCAGATTTGAAGGCAGTAAGGATCATGGCAGAGCAGGTGCCAGATCTCCTTCACCTCCACTTGGACTTGTGTTGTCATGACATCTGCAATATAATCAAAGAAATTCCTCAGATGTTCCCAAAGCTGCAGGTCCTAAAAGTGAGGTGAGAGAGAGTTCTTAGTAATGAACTATATAATTTCATAATAAGTAAACGTGCTGCTTTTTGTTCATCTGACCTCAGTTAAATTTCATTCTAAATAACTCATCACTTTCAGACACCAAAATGTTCCAGCATCATTGTTTCTTGAGCTTCACCATCTGCCTGGACTTCAGCAGTTAGTGATTTTGGATGCACCCCAAGGCAGTCCTACGGTACAAGATCTGAAACGAAAACTTGATGACCAAACAAACAATAAAATCCATGTGCTTCATTCCAATTCAAGGGACCAAACAACTTGTTCTTGTGGTTTTAATTGATACACTTCATTGTTTCTTATGTGCAACTTGATGATTTCAGACATATACAGATGCTCATGCCTTTTATACAGTTTTTGTAATATAGAGGAACATGTATGTGAAAGATGGAAAATGGACTTAAATTGTAAATAGTGGATTAGTGGACATTTGTTACATTGTCAATGATATTGTATGTCATCAGCATTCACTTGATTCTTTACAAAGTGGAATATATTTAGAAAATGGTATAATCTCTTATAGTCTCTTTTTAAATTGTCCTTGATAAAGTAGTGAAATGAAATAAAGACTGCAGTAAGAAGTCCTGTTTACAATCCTTAACATCCAAACCCTCCACTAGGTGGCAATCCATTCACATTTGAGTATTTAAAAATATATACTACTTTTTACCACTTTACGAATCCGTCCAGTTAAAACACAAAGTATATAACAAATATGTGCAAGTTATTTTTTTTAGAACTTGTATATAGTAGTTCTTGTAGATATACCAGATATTTTCATTTTGGAACAACAAATAAGTTTAATATTAAATTATTTATACCTTTATGTAGGCTGTTATACAAACTGCCTCAAAAACTTTTAAAATGTAAGCTTTTATTTATTAGGAGCCAGTCTGAACTGTCACCATAACAAATCTGCAGTCTCTGACTGAATCCCTATAGCACCACCAACTGCCCAAAGTTGCATTCACATTAATAATTTTTTAACCGTAAGGGATAGAAACAAAATTATTTTCCCCTCTGAATCTGTGGCTCAGGACAAATCATTGACCTGAAGCTACCAGTATACAGTTTTGGCGCAGTGCCACGTAGTAGTAATTTACTTTTTTTTTTTGCTTCTGAACGGTTTGGCCAATTATCACAAAACTAGTCTCTTTTGATTCGAACGATACCCAAATGATGAGGGCCATTTTTAATTTTGGCAAAAAAAAAAAAAAAATAATAATGAAATAATATATATATATATATATATATATATATATATGAAGAGTTCAGATGCAAAAGCCTCTAAATGCCATTTGAAATTTTGTTCTTTAATGATGATTTTTATCAAACTTGTATATTTAAGTTCAATAATTTCACTTAAATAACAATTAATAGGTAATTATCATTGCAATTTAAGTGAAATCACTGAACTTAAATATACAAGCTTGATAAAAATGATCATTCTACAAAAAAATTTCAAATGGCATTTAGAGGCTTTTGCATCTGAACTCTTCATATATATATGAAAGCATTGGTATCATGTGGGACAGCGCAACCACGTGGTCAAACATTATAATGAAATTTCCAAAAATGCTAATAACTTTGGATTAAATTAGCCTATTGTAATGAAGCTGGTCTTAATAGATGTTCATGTTCATGCCAAGAACATAGATACCGATTTTGCTATTTTTGACCTGTCCGCCAGTTGTATTTTGAAGTTCCTGTCCGCCATTTGTATTTTGTTTCAAAACCTACTTTTTAAAAGTAACTCATCTTAGACCGTTTGTCCAATTTCACCAAATTTGATTCAGACCATCTTCTTTTGTGCCGGCTAAAAGGTTTGGATTTCGAGTCAATATACAAAACTATTTTTGTATACCACATCAACAAGCAAATATGGCTTGACCCCAAAAAAATCTAACAAAAGGTTTCTCTTTATAAATATTGTTTAATATTTTTCTTATTTGTACATATTACTGTTTTTTGCACTGTGACCACTTACCATTAGTTGTCACACTCTTCCTCCCATAGAGATTGATTATAGTAGGCCTAATTCTCACAATTCCTTGACATGGTCCACAAGCAGGGATAGTCCATGTGCCCTGCAAACTGCACCTTTGTGGTCATAACTGGCAGGAACCGGTTGCTTTCCACCAAACAACACTGCCATTGCCTTGGTCCCATGGTCCTCTATGATATTTCTTGCTTGATGTGGGAAAAGAAACGCATTTGCACAGTACTACTGGATGGTTGATTCATGAGGTGGACGCAAAAGTATAAATTGGGCTTCACTCTGACCACACCACATCAGATTCGTAACAGTGCCATCTATTGGTCGAAAGTGATATATAATTATAATTTTTTAGGCATTCTGTTGGCCCACCGCATTGTGCCTAATTGTGCCTTTTTGTGCTTGCCGCTATTTTAAAAGATTTATCTTTTACCACATTTCACATATTTTCAGTTGTAAGACAAATATGTAAAATGTCATTGCTGATAACTTAAATTGCTGATGATTTTTTTTTTTTTTTTTACCACATTTCATTTTCCAATTTAGACGTTTTAAGGATTTATGATGAAAAGTAATTTTAAAGTCTTTCTATCAGGTTTTACTAATCAAGGCCCAGTCAACCTGATGAAGCATTAATATAATTTAGAAGCAATTTTGCTAGCAATTAGCTGCAGTAAAGCTGATCCATCATTGCATAATATAATACTGAAGGGTGAATGTTTGGATGTTTTAATCCCACTCAAGGTTATACAGTTGTAAGAGCTTCCCAGAAGTTTTATGGTGTATTGAAGCTGTGAGAAATCTTCCATTAGGCGAGGATGGAGCATTCATCAAATGAGAGACGACAAGGACAACATATCATTCCACATTATATCCCACTGAGGGAGAAATAATGTGCTCATAAGTAACAGTGGAGACTGAGTGAAAACACTTCTGGAGTAGCACGCAATGTTGCCTGACTTAAACAGTGTCCATTGAGGACCCTGCAAAGCTTCAACATCCAGTTCTATGTGCAATTTGAAAAGTGTTGTAGGATTTTAGCATGCGTTTGATGTGAAGGTTGTGGTTCAGTCTCCTTAAAATATACATTTTTTTTTTGTCATTATGTTTCATTTCAGGCAGTGTAAATATTAGAGCCGACAGTAACAGAGTACATTTACTTGAGTACAGTAAGTACAATTTGAGGGATCTGTATACTTTACTCATTTTTATTTTACACGAGTATCATTTTTGGGGAGTAGGCTACTCATGACCATACTCATATTTGAGAGGCAAACATTGTACTCTTTACAAAAAAATAAAATAAAAATTGGATTGTGCAGGCGCCACTGATTGGGACAGCATATGAGAAATCACCTTCAGCTTTCCGCCACAGTCAACTCCATGGTCAGATTTAGGCAAGAGACGAAACCATGGACGACACAGCAGGTCCATCCCGGGAATGTGCCAACCCATGGCCCCTCCTCGCCACACTATTTCAATTTTCTGAACAAGTTATTGATAGTTTTCGCTTCAAGTGTTTGCTGTGTTTACCAAAACAGAACTTCATCACCGCCTACAAAAAATCATCCTCCAACTTGTGGATTAAATCAACGTGGTAAAAAGATGAAAATGACTTGATTTTATTTACAATTCTTTTTACATTTTCCAAGGTATTAACATTTTTCATTACTCCATGTATACATAAATGTAAGCACTGTGGCAGTAGTAATGAAATATTTAGAAAATGTACACTTGTACTCTTGATACTCAAGTACTATTAAAAACAAGTTCAGTTTAAGTAGACATCTGACTGTACTTTTACTTGAGTAAAATTTAACAGGGGCTATGTGTACTTTTACTCAAGTAATGAAGCTGTGTACTCTGTCCGCCTCTGGTAAATATTCTACATTTATGCATGTTCCAGAAATGTCAATATTTCACCTCAGCAAGAGAACAATATGTTCTAATGCTTCATTCATACAATCTGAGATGAGTAGCAAAGGAGAAAATCGAAGGAGATTGGTATATTCTCTTTGAATTTTCATTCTGAGACAGACATTCCAACATCTTTCAGAATGCTAAGTGTTCTGTACTGGATCTCTTGGGGGGATTTTTTTTTCCCCAAAAAAACAAAACAAAAATACCTACAGTTTTACCCTGACAAGTCTGCTATTCCAATTACGAACATTGTATTGCCTGTAAATTAACAAAAATCCCCTTGTGTTTTATTTATTTTCCAGATAAAAGTATCATACTGTGAGAAGGAGTTCACTCAGTCCTTATAGAATTAGGCTATCGTGACAGATTTTCACTCGGATCATTTATATAGAATTTGGTTTGAAAATAGGGCAAAAAGTCTCCTTTAAAGCATCTGAATTTTCCTTGAATGTGTTTTGAGCCATAATACGAGCTTGGAACACTCTTCAGCTTTTGACTGCTCTGAATGGGAATTCTGAAGTTAATTTATACAGTATGACCCTAAACGATCTGAATGGCAGGCCTGCTGGAATTCAAGGTAGCTCGCAAGAAGCAATGAAACGCCAGCCCTATTAGTTTTGATTGAGATGAAAACGGCAATGGAGAAATGATACAATAATGGCTACGGAGGATGGCATGCACCTCCCCACATGATTACACATAATCAATGCCATTTAGTGGATGGTATCATTTTGTTGGTTTAACTTTCTTCCATTACAGTCTATGGAGGGATTTTGCATTCTCTTCCACACTCAATCATTTCTCATTTTGAGTATGTGAATGTGAAGTCCCCATTCTACTGTGACTAAACGACTTCTCCATTCTTATCAGAAAGCAATTTGCTTGTGTGAGACTGTAAAGTCCAAGCTCTCCATCATAACTATATGAAATGGCTGTCCATGCCGTCTGATCTACGAGAAAGGAGATGCCGAATGAACAGACTGACTATCTGGGAGATAGCTTGCCAGCTCATCCGAATGCAAACGCTGCATCATGCCGGGACAATGAAACCTGTGTCACAACTAAAGGGAGCTATACGGGTATCTAGCGAAATTAACGTCTGTGCAGGAAGATGCCATTCTATGTGATATATATAAATGCAAATACGAGACCAGGGTTAGTTTTCGCAGGGTCTATCTGGTTTTGTGTGCAGTCATTTTACACAAAATACACAAAGTGGTTTTATATGATGTAATACATTTTTATCATTTTATTTAGCCAGAAATCAAAACAGGTTCTACTGTGACAACTTGTCCCAATGTGTTCAATTATGTTTGAATTATGTTTTTTTTTTTTTTTTTTTAAACCCTATACTTGCTTTCCCAGGATATAAAATAGAAACAGCAAATTTAGAAACAAAACAAACTCCAGCAAATATGTTTTCTTTGCACTCAATTTCTACCTTTGCACTTTTCTCTCCCTTTATGTTCAAAGGTTTTGAGGACACAAGGAGTTGTAAATGGCATAGTGAAGAACCTGAGGGAATGTCTGAAGGGA